CTCAACAAATCAAACACAGAGGACACTCCTGCTGGTGGCCGGTACTCCTGCTCTTGCAAGGAGTAAGGGAAGCTGACGGGAGCATTTACTCCTTGACAGCGCCAACCTTGACTTAAGGTAAGCCGACTTGAGCTACATATTCTTCATAGCTGGACTTGCGTACCTTAAGCTGAGCTACCGGGTCTAGTATAGACCTGGCCTCAGGGGTATGAATAAGCCACCCCCCTGAGCAACATAAGTTACACTGACCTAAGTACCACTGTGTATTATATTGGTGAGAGAGCTTCTTCCACCAATACAGTTACTGCTGCTCGGTGGAGGTGCAATAAGTTGATTGTACATAAACATTTCACATTACTTAGGCCTTGCAAGAGAACAAGGGTCACCCTCTATATATAGAGAGATGTAAAACTGACCTCACAAGACAAATTAATGCCGTTTATAATTTGGGAGGCAAAGTGGTTTGGATTTCTTGGGACAACAGGCAGCTGAGTTTCGCAGGACAAGCGGTTTACCTGCCGCTTTGAACCCCGCTCGGTGCCCAGAGCAATGGGGGGGAGGGGAGGGAGTTCCCTGCCACGTTTAGAAGAGTGGTTTGCCATGGAGAACTCTGGGGCTCCCTCCTGCTTTAAACTCACAGCCATGATTTAAAAGGAGGCCACGGTGGCACCTGGTGACTCCCTTCTCCAGCTCCACGTGCCTCCTGGCTACGGGAGGCATTCCCCTCGTTGTGTGAGAACAGGGATGAAATCTCTCTCGCTTTTTCTTTCCCTTTTCTCCGTCCCCAGCCACAAGTGTGCAGGGGACAGCAGGGGAATTTGGGGCAGAACTCGCTGACCACAGCCACCACTGCCACCAATTCCTGTGCCAGGGGCAACACAGGGACACCGGTCACAGCAAGGCCAGGCACAAAAAGGGCACATGGTTTCTAAGCAGCCGAGGGAGACCAGAGAAGCAAGGTAGAGCTGAGCCCGAGAGCCACACACTGGAGACTGCATACTAAAAGCTACACTTTCAGAATGCCTCCAGCCAGCCCCTCGACAAGAGGTGGCAAAGAGGCAATTTACCAGAGGCCCAGGTGATTTAAAGGGGCCCGGGGTCCTCTGGCCACCGCAGACCCAGGCCTTTTTACGTGCCCTGAGTCCTGGCACCTGCTGTACATTGCTGTGCGGCTCCACTAGGCTGGTGGTGCACCCTGCTGGAGAGTGCCAGGGCAGGAGGGGCCTCGGGCAGCCACAAGGCGAGTCAGAACAGCAGTCTCCAGCTAGGCTGGGAAGGCAGAGCCAGAGAAGGAGCTGGTGTGGCTGCAGCAGCAATTGCTGCAATGTTGTCACCATGTGAGTGGGCAGGGAGGGGAGAGCCAAGCGGGAAGGGAAGGAGGGAGGTAGGCTGGGAAGAGGAGGTAGCCAAGCTCCAGCACGTAGAGCCAGGCACAGGATAGCAGTGAGTGAGTGCTGAGGGGGCGGAGGAACCGGGCTAGAGAGGGAAAAGAGAGGATGGACGAGCAGAGAGAGGATGGAGCCAAGCTAGGTACAGGGTGGCTGGGGTGGAGGGGCAGAGAGGGAAGGAGGGTGGGATGGGCACCTCCAAGCAGGTGGAGGATGGGGCTGCGACTGGCCAGGGGGTCCTCTGATGAGGGGTGGTGGTTGGGGTTTCTCAGGGGAGTGTGGCATGTGGCTATGTCCACGGGAGGGGACAGGGGCCCATTGAGTGTGCTGTTTTGGGGCCTGGAATTCCTGTCCAGCAGGTCAGCTTACAGCTTTCCCGCCCATTACTGGATCCATTCCCAGTGGTCAGGTGCGGCTTTGCATGGGCAAACAGGGCGTTCCTCTGCTCAGTAACTCTCTGGAATGCTTTTCGCCTAGGTTGGGAAAGCAAAAGAGGATTTCTCTGTTTGCAGATTCTGAGAGATTCTTGCGTAGCTGATTAACAGCTTGGCCATTTTAGTTTCTATTCTTAGGAGGGTGGCGAAGCTCTTCATTTCCCTCTGATCTTTACTTTCTTGATTTGGGGATCAACAGAGGGATCCACTTTGAATGAATAGTTATTAATCATTCAAAGACTCTCTCGTCACACCTCTCCTAGCTGCTAAACAGAATGAAGCTAGGCCTGCAAACCCGAGCTGAAGTCTGGAAGCTAAGCAAGGCGAAGTGGTATTACAGTGTACTGGCCATGCGCCCTTCTGACTACAAACCGGAAACATGACCAACAGCCTGGGAGTCTAGCTGTGGGAAGATAAGCGTTCTGTAAATTGAGGGCGACATGCCCATCTCCAAGTTGTAGGAAAGGGATAAGTGAAAAAAGGGAACAATCCTGAATTTTGGTTTCTTGAGGACCTTGTTCGGTTTCCTCAAGTCCAGATCCCACCTTTTTGGAGAATCAGAAACTAACAAGAATAAAATCATTTCTCTCTGTGCTAAGAGCGAGCTTCTTCCCTGGCGCCCACATCTGGAGGCGATGTCTCCTCCTGAAGTCACACCGCCTTAGGAATGGGGTCCGTGAATACAGACAGGGAAGGTGGTACGGGTAGGGAAGAGAACTGAATCGTAAGACATGGCTTCCTTCCACAGTGCTGAGAACCCATTTGTCTGATGTTATATTGACCCAAGCACTGCGAAAAAGGGACAGACGATCCCAAAAGGAAGTATAGTGTTATTTTCGAAGAACTGTCATGGCTGGTATGCTGTCCTCAATTAAAACCTCAAGATGGTTGCTTTGTTGACATAGAGGTCTGGTGAGAACTCATGGCCAACGAAGCTGAAGGCAAATGTCTTAGGGGTTACACTGACACTTACACATGTCTTGGAGTCTAGACTGATGACTGAGACTAACATTTGACTTGCTTTCTCTTTGGTGTAGGAGTAGAACCTCTCCCCTGCCCTCTATGTGTACATAGCACTGTGGATCTTTTCAGACAACAATTTTGACCTGTCAGGAGGAAAGTCCTCCTTCATGCTTCACAGCTCTTTTGGGATCCGTCAGCCCCGATGCCATAAGGAGGACACAAAGCAGTGTCTGAGAAGTCTGTGGCCACCTGACGAGTGATTCTTGTCTAAAGATGACCCTCAGCCTCTCTAGCCACAAATTGATCTGTACATTCCTCTGGCATCTTATCTGCCAACACACATGCATGTCCAGTGAACAAACACATATTCCGGCAAATGGAGTAGCTCTTTCCTGGTGGGGCCATGATAGACGATGGAAATTAGTTCATTGGGTGAGATGCTGCAGGAGATCTAGTGTCTCTAGAACCAGCCCAGAGGGCTCAAGATGAGCAGTTGAATTTCAGCATTTCCTGTGGTGGTAAACACCACGATGCAACATGGCTACATCTCTACCACTTAAACAGGCAATGTTCCTGCCTAATGCCGCAGGTCCCTGCCGCTCTCTTGAGTTCAGAGAAGAAATAGAACTTTCTCCAGGGAACTGTAGAGCAGCTTCTGCCACCCAGAGACAAAAGCAGTTCAGGGTCATCTGTGGGGCACAAAAGGTAGGTTGCCCAAGGCCCCCCATTTGAGAGAAATCCCAAAGTGAGTGGCTTTGCAATCAGAGTCACAGCAGCCCTTATGTATGGCTTGGCTGCTCCTCCATCTCCATCTATGGAAAGGTAGATGGGCCAACCTGAGTGGTGCTGCATGAAGTTTTAGCTTCTGGAAATATTGTGGCTATCTGCAGGGGATCCAGCAGTGCTGCCAGGCCTGTGAGCTCAGCCAGCCCGCTCACCGTGTCTGTTTCTGGGATGGGATGGGTTGTGTGGAAGCCTGAGTCGGGGAAGATCAGAATGGCTTTGCAGTTGTTCTGAGTACTTACCAAATGTCACCCTACACCACACTAATTACGGATGGACCTCATTTTAATCCAGAGTCTGCTCCAACTCAACCAAAAGCTATTGGGCTGCATGCAGAACTCCTTGTGTGATGCTGTAGGCTGGAGTACGCACGATAGACCATAACTGCCCTCCTGGCTATAACAACTATGAATCACTGAAATGCGGTCATGAATTACATCCGATTCTAGCAGGAAATTTAGAATTAAGATTCCACCAGCCTCTGAATTCTGTCTCCTCTGCCCGCTGGCTGGTCACCTATAGGACAGCAACACTTTACTCAGCTCCAGCTGTTATACAGTCCATTGTTCCCTCCTTGATGGACATGCTATTCCCACCTCCAGCTGTATCAATATCTCATGCTTTGCAGTCACCATAGTAGTTGGAGTCCTGACCTTCCTCATGGCCCATGGTCTAGAGATCACAGCATTTTGCAGCATGCCCTCCACAGGCTCCAGTGGGAGAACACTCCGCCTTTCCATCCCAGAGGCAGTTGCACTGTAGCGGTGAGGGACATGCTTTGAGCAGCACTCTGTGTGCCTCAGGACAATGAGGCTAGAGAGAGGTGAGCTGCAGCTGAAGTGCTGAACTAGAGTCGATTGTTTTTACTGGGAAGGGTTTTCTGATGATTTAACAAATGAGATCTCACAGACGCAGACCAGCATGGCTCAGGCCAGAGCTCCCATTGTTGGCTCAGTTTCCACCTGCATTTCCCAGAACCAAGGCTGCCTGATTTGGGGAACTGACCAGAGGAGATGGCAAAGATAACCCCAGCCGTCAGCCACCACATGCTAGATCCCTGTGTTTAAGGATAAGAAGGCCACAAAGGCTCATCCTAGGAAAAGGGCCAAGACTCTCAGCTAGTCAGTGCTATCAACTAGGCACTTGGACTTGTGGTCTGGTTTAAAATCTCTATCCCTTTTAAAGATCCTTTGGGCAGACAAAATGGAGGCGCTCCCTCAGCAAAAGGGCATGCCCAGCTACTGAGACCCTCGCTCACTGGGTGTGGGATGGGACTGCATAGAGTTCCGGCTGGCTCAAGCTTTCCTTAGGAAGGTCCCTGGGATGGGAGGGGTTGAGATGGGATGGGAACATGGTCCCCAAGATGAACAGCCACAAATGCCATCAAGAGCCACCACTAAGTGCTTTGAGAAACACGCAGCAGGCAGAGAGGCAGAGCCATTCCATCAGCATTTATTGTGAAAACTCTTGGGCCACTAGGCAGATTTCTTGTTAACAGAACAAAACCAACAGGAAACACAGAGCAGGAGCTGGAAATAGCACCGAGCTTGTACCCCCAGTACAAACCATTGCCCTGCGCTGCTCGAAGCCAGGTCCAGGAGAGTATTGTTCCAACCTTGAACAAAGGCTCAGACACACCATTCTGCACAACTTTCACTCCCATTCTCAGGAGCTGAGTGCTTCAGCATGTCCAAATCCAGGTTGTGACCTAGGGGATTCGTCAATGCAGATGCAGGTGAAGCCTTCTGTCTGATGCAACGCAGAGAGACCTATGGTTTTCAGAATGTACAGTCCACCAGAGAAGAAGTGAACACTGACAGGTCCTTTCCAGGAGCAAAGTTCTCCTCTCAGATCCTCAGGGAGTGACAGTGTACAGGAGGGAGACTGCGCCCAGATCTCCTGTACAGATCTGAGGGGAGGATTTTGGCCCCAGTTTGGTTCCTAAATAGTGGTTCCCCATTTAAGCCGCGATAGGGCTGTACATATCCTAAGATCATAATCCCTTCTCCTTCAATGCCCAGTCTGCACCACTGTAACTTTCCCCCAAACACTACGTACTACTTAGAAACTTATCACTATAGCTCCCACCTTGCTACAGACCCATTCTTTGTCTTTATGCCAGGCAGTCTAAAGGGAGAGGAGTGCAGTGCCCTGCATCAGGGATTCTGATCATTGGGGTCACACTTCAGCATGACTTTCACCCCCTGGCCCTTCCTGGTTGTCTCAAAGGCTTCTAGTGCTTTTTCCAGAGGGAAGCGATGTGTAACCAAAGGCTTGACGTTCACTCTCCTGGATGCAAGCATAGAAATTGCCATGGGCCACCTGGAAGGGAACAGAAACAGCGAGAGATAAGGATAACCTTCTAGGTCTAGGGAATTTGCATAATGGCACATGAACCTTATAGGCGTAACACCGCATCCCATCCCATTCTTACAACATTCAGAAACAGAAAGTGACAGACTGGTCTGCAGGGGCCTTGATCCTGTGAAGCAGGTGAGAAGTGATTTCTTTAGTGCACAAGTCACTCCTGCTAAGCCATGCAAAAAGCTTCAGGACTTAGCTCTCAATGGAGCCCTCTGCTTGCAGTTCGTTTGCGTCTGTCGTTCTCTCCTTGCTGTGAAACACGTCGCAGTCGCATTCTGTGTGGAAGCACCGAGCTGGCACTGGCCAAGGGTTCATGCGGGTCTGTGACTAAAGCAAGGGAGCCACTGAGAGCCAATGGCTAGGCGCGCTGTTCAGATGGGATAGCTCCAGCTGGGTAAGTGACAAGCACTGGGAGCTACTGTGTATTCAAATCACAGAAAAATGAAGTTTCAAAAAACTATCAGCGAGGTGTGCTGCTCCTTTACCGTTCTGCCCCCTTGGTTATGCATGTCAGTTACTAGGTACAATGGAGCCCTCTGGCATTTCGGTGGTGTTTTTAGCTCAAGTAGTTCGCTTAAAGTTCAATGTATATGAAGAGTTAATGGGGTATGGCTGCAGAAAACTGCTTCTGCAGGCCACTACTGCCCCCTTTGGTGGTAAGAGGAGTACTGAAATTGGCTTGCACAGGTTCTGTTGCACTGACACAATTCTACTGGCTTACAACTCAAACTCCACCTTGGCAAAAGCTAGATTTAGACAAAGATACGAAGGGATCTAACCTAAACCCAGCTCTGCCAAGCCAGTGAGACCAAGGCCATAGCCTGCTCCAGGGACAGGGTAAAGCACAGCTCAGTCTCATCTACGCTGACCTATAGCCTATGACCAGAATTCCTTCTCTTTCATGCACAATTGTAACTTGTCCCCTCAAACACTACATACTACGTGTTTCTCCAGCATAGACCAGACCGAAAACTGCATAGATGAGGTCTAAATGTGTGTCTCTTTATTCGGCCATTTTTTCAGAATTAAATTGCCAAAAATCACATGCCAGCTCCATGGACAAACTCACAGAGATCAGAGCTGGAAAACTACAGCATAGGCTATGTGCAAACTCACCAAAACAGACTGGATCAAACTTGTTATAGGACACAAACAAGTAGGAGCTTATCGTTACTCCCTAGATCTGCAGGATTGGTTGTTAAATCCAGGTTCATATCCCACAGCCACAAGAAATCTAAGCACACAGGATTTTAAGAGGGTTTGATAATTTTGTAGCCAGTTAGAAGACGCTTGCCTAGCTGCATTAAGGCAGAGATGTCAAACTTCTTCATAACACAGACCATGTTTTAATACGGAGATTGTCTCATGGACACCTCCCACCCAGCCATCATCTCTTCCCACCCCCACTCAACCTCTGGCCCTCAGCTCCCCATCCCTATATCCTCACTTATCCCACCTCCCCACTCCTCCCCCATCTCCCAGTGCCCCCTCCCGACCCATCCCCAATCCATCCCACCTGCCCATCTACCCCACTCCTCCCCAATCTTCTAGTGCCCAATGCCCCACCCATCCAACATGCCCGCCTCCTCACTGCTCCACTATTGCCCAGATCCCACTCCTCATGCATTGCCTACTTCCTCATCCATCTCCCAGCCTGCACCTCTCCAACCAACCCCCACCACACCACTTTACTTATCCCTCACTGACTTCCTATCACCTCAGCCCTCATCTATCCTACAGGTCCACTTCCCTACCCATTCTCCAACTCCTTACTTATCTTCTAGCCCCCATCTTCCCAGACATCCCCAATACCTATTCTCTCACCTCGCCTACTGCCTGGCTCCCACCTCCTCACCCATCCTGTGTTGGAGCGGGAGCAGGTTTGCACGGCACACAGTTACCAGTTTGTAAATAGTGCACTGTCACTTGGCAAGCCAGCCAGTTTCCAAGATGCACAGTGCAAGGGACATACCATTGTACTGAGAAGGAGAGATCAGAGGGAGAACCTTCCATTCCCCTCTTCCTTACCGAGGAATTAAGTCCTCAGGGGCAATGGAATAATCTGTTGGCATGCCAGTGCACTCGGTCCAATACTCACGTATTGCAGTAGCGAAATATCCCCTTGATATCCACCTCCCGCACAGCAGCATTCACGATGGGGATGTGGACCATCTCCGGCCCCAGGCCCACTAGAACCAGAGTCCCGCCAGAGCGTGTGGCCTGAGGAGGAACAACAGAAACAAAATAAATCTAAATGCTGCCTGCCCAAGGAAGCCAACAAGTTCCTGTGTAGATAGCAAAAACAGTCACTACTGTAGGTCGTCTTAGCAGGCTACAAAAGAAGTTGATACCCTAAAGCAGTGATTCTCAAACTCCCCCTCTTTGTGTATCAGGCTCCCCCTCTTTGTACCCAAAGTTGTTTCTCCCTGCCCCAAAGTGCACGTACTACCATCCATCTCTGAGGGCAGAGTGGAGAGCAGAAGCTGCTTGCCAGGTGTCCAGCTCTGAAGGCAGCACTGGGCCAGCAGCAGCTGCTTGCTGGGGGCCCAGCTGTAAAGGTAGCACTGTGCCAGTAGCAGCATAGAACTGAGGGTGGCAATGTGAAGTGTTATTTGTTAGTATCACTTTTCACAGCAGACCCACTGCCACCCTTACTTCTGTGCTGCTGCTGCTACCCCCTGGCTGACAGCCGGAGTCCTGCTGTCTCCGGATAAGGGACGGGGCTGCCGCCCGGTGAGGAATGGCTGAGGGGGAAGAAAGCTTGAACCTCAGAGGCAGGACTCCAGCTGTCCCATTTATCTCTGCCTCCTGGATGTGTACAGGTCCTTCTGCATAAGTCAGGCCACCAGGGGCTGACAGCCAGAGCTCTTTAAAAAAAGAAAAAAGCAAATAGCTTGCATCTCCCAACTCCCTTGGCACACTACCATGCCTCCCTTAGGCATCCTGCCCTGCAGCTCAAGACCCCTGCCTGTATGTACAGGCTTGTACTTGGGGCAGCTGGCCCATCCTGCAGCTCACACTGCTGGAGCTACATTCTGTCTTTAGCACACTAGCTTGACAGCTCACACAAGCATGCCTCCTTGAGACAGGTGGTGCACTCCTAGCGCCAAGTGTAGACGTACCCATCGGTACTTCTGACATTTCTGCCAGTTTCAAATGAAACCACCCAAATCCTCTTTCGCTTCCTCCTGTCCATGGAGGTGTCCCATTCTCCTACCTGTGGGGGCTCCTCTACCACTCTTTGGCCACACACAAGGAGGGGACAGAGTAGGCAGCACAGAGGGAGCTCCATAGTCTGCTGTGGAGAAACACACTGCTCCCCCTTAAGCCCTGCAGAGCTTGCCAGGAAAAGCCAATACACTGTGTGGAGCTGGATTATTTTTTCTACTGAGCTCCATGAAGGGATCCTGAGGTTATCATGGACCTCTACATAACACTGTCAACTGCTCTGTAGCACACACCACTTACTGATGTTCTCAGCAGGCCTTCAAGAACCCAGCCCATGGCACCTGACTCAAGAAAAGATCAATCTGGCATCAAGGCTGAGATTAAAAAATTTTCTGAAGAAAACCTTGCTTAGTCATAGGTGTTGTTATCTGCACAGGAGTACGTGACTGCTCACAGGTTCCACAGTGCTCCAAATCGTACCAAGGAGGAGCTGCAGAGCACAGAAATAGATACGTGCATCCTCATCAAGGAGCTGGCTCATACCAGGGACCCTGCCTCCCTGTAACGAAGGACGTCAGCTCTTTGATACTGCGCTGGCTGCCAGAGATCTACAAACTCCTCCTAGCTCCAGGATTCTGATGATGCTGAAAATCTAGACAGTAATTTTCAAATGCCTGAAGTCTCCTTAGGCCACGAGTTCAGAGCAGTCACAGCGACAGTATAGTAATTCCATGAGATGGAATGGAGAGGACTAGAGCAGCACAAGGAGGAATCCACGTGCAGATCTCTAGCTGCCTGGCAGATGATCAGCCACCTCTGCAGAATCACTATGCTCTAACAACGCCCCCCTCCGCCCCCCCCAAAGGGGGGGGGGGGGGGGAGAAAAGTGATACTATTCCCATTGGAGAGTCCCAGGAAAAGAGGATGTGGCCATACCAGAGTGGGAACCTGTGCTCAGTCTCAAAGATGACACTGGGTAATGCTCACCCATGACACAACATGCAAAAGACCCCAAAATCCCACTGCTTGCAAATGCAGCTCAGTTGTTTCTAGGCTGCAGAGCTGGAGACATTGGGGCTCTGCCATATGACCGCGGTGATCTGCTATTCTCACGGGCTCAAGGAGCCTGCTCCCCTTTACAGCCCATGCAACTGCAGTGCCTGACACTATATGACCAGAAAGCAGGTCTGTCGTAGCAGGAGGTGTCGCAGCTGCTGTAGCAGGGGAATTTCTGCCTCCCTGAGCTGTGGCTAGGGCACAGCTGCTCAGCAGTGCTCCTAACACTGAAGCCTTGTCTATATTTATCCAGAGATCGATGCTCTGGAGATTGATCTTCCGGGATTTGATTTAGCGGGTCTAGGAAGGACCTGCTAAATGAAGCGCTGATGGCACCTCTGGCCACCCCGGGACTCCACAGGGTTTCAAGGAGTAGGAGAGGTCGAAGGGAGCTGCCAGAGAAATTTGATTTGAGGTACGCTGAATCCAGCTACACTATTCTGGTAGCTACAGTTGCGTATCTTAAATTGAATTTTCCCCCCCAGAGTAGACCTGGCCTGAGCTGGGCTACAAGACACAATCGAGTCCTAAGGGTATTGTTGATGTTGCATAAGACAGGCCTCAGTATTTCCCTGATGTGAAATTCCCCACCAGGGCACTGTGAGTCTGTTGCTCTTGGGGGTGGGCCTTTCAGCATGCCAGCAAAGGTTTGGCTGGGTTCACCTGCAGTGCTTCCAATACAGGAGTTATCACTGCTTGTTTCAGAATCTCAATACTGCTGGGCACAACTTCCTCCAGGCTCCATTCACTCCTGTTAGTCACAGAAAACTTAGGCAAATAGATCTTTGACTTAGCAAACACACAACACTGATTGCAACAATCAATGGGGTCATGTAAACAGTGTTAATGTTTTCTCCAGTATAGGCATAGCCCATTCATATTACATCAGAGGCAGAACCCATGAGATCAGCGAGTCAGGACAGCATGGGTCAAACTTTGATCCTCACCTATAAGAAAAAAATGTTTATAGGAAGTTTCTGTGAGCTCGGAAAGCTCTCTCCTAGCCCAGGCCTTGAGGCATATCCTAGCCCTCGTCCAGAGGCAGGTGAGATACAGCCTGCGAACCACATTTGGCCTGCCAAGCCACTAGATCCATCCTGCAGGGCACCCCCTGGGACCTTCTGGCACAGAGCAGCTTCATGCTGCTTTAAGCGGCTGGCTGCTCCCTGTAATTCTCTGCTCTGTGCAGCAGGGGGAGGAGGAGGCTTCATGTACTGTCCCTGCTCCAAGCAAAATCTCTTAGCTCCTATCCGCCGAAAACGCAGAGCAGAGCGCCACAGGAAACAGCCAGGCGTTTTGAGAAGCCTGGGACAACTGCAACCAGGGAGCCTGCCTTGCGGTCCTGCAGGGCTGCTGTCCAGGAGCTGCCTAAGTAACGGTATGTCTACACTACAAAGTTCGAACTAACGGACGTTAGTTTGAACTAACTTTGATAGGCGCTACACTAGCACTCCGTTAGTTCGAATTTAATTCGAACTAACGGAGCGCTTAGTTCGAACTAGGTAATCCTCATTCCACGAGGATTAAGCCTAGTTCGAACTTACTAGTTCGAATTAAGGGCTGTGTAGACCCTTAATTCGAACTAGTGGGAGGCTAGCCCTCCCCAGGTTTCCCTGGTGGCCACTCTGGCCAACACCAGGGAAACTCGTCTGCCCCCCTCCCGGCCCCCTTAAAGGGGCACGGGCTGGCTACGGCTACGGTGCCCATGCCAGGTGCACACTTGCCAGCACCCAGCTAGCAGACCCTGCACCTGGCACGGATCGAGCCACCCACCCAATGCCCCCCAACCCTCCTCCTCTTCCCGGGACCAGGCTGGTGGCTCTTGGGAGCCTGGCCAGGACCGCAAGAGGCGGGCACCCGCCTGGTCTAGTGCAGACATCGTGGACCTCGTCCACTAGGCACACGAAAGCGG